GAATACCCATTTTATGGATTGGGAAAATGGGTACAGAGAGCTTAGTGATTTGCCCACGGTCACTGGCTAGAGTTAGTGTCTCAACTGGGAACAGAAGTTGGGAACCCAGCTCCCTTATAATTGGTTTTGCAACATCGCCCCCGCAAAATAACGTTCTATTAAGTATCTTCTATTTGTAGGAGCAGATCATTCTCCCACGTTGTCAACCATGTTTGCTCTCAGGTGCCTAATAAGGTCCGATTGATGCTCGGCCAGCATTTACAGAATTCTTACTGTGTATGGATTCTCTGATGTTTCTAAACGCCTGTGCCATGATTGACGCTTTCCCCACATTCAGTACATAAATAGCATTTCTTCCCACTGAGTGATCTCTAGCGGATAAGAAGGCACAAGTCCTAACTGCAGTTTTTGCCACATTTAGTACATAAATAAGGTTTCTCTTCCAAGGGGATTCTCTTGTGGTGAATAAAGCATGAGCAATCACTGAAGCTTTCCCCACTTCCACAGCATTTATAAGGTCTCTCGCCTAGGTTTATTCTCTGGTGGAAACTGAGGTGTGAGCTCAGAATGAAACTTTTCCCATACTCATTACAGTCCTACGGCTTTTCAGCCATGTAGATCCTCCAATGTTGGACAGCTTTTTTTGAAAGCCAGACACACTAAAATGGACTAAAAGTCGTCCTGCTCTAGAATGGAAAGAGACCCACCTAACTGGGACGCAGTGTTGCTCTGCCCTTTTCAATAGCTGTCACTTTCCGCTGCAGAGGTGGCACTAAGTGGCAGCTATTTAATGTTTCACAGCAATTAAAATATTTACAAATGTATTTATAAGTTAATAATGTATGCATATATGTAAAACAAATACGTAAGTGTGGAGAGAGGCATGGACCTTTACATTTAATTGTCAGTCTAAGAGATTTGATTTCCAGAGTCCCTACCCCCCTCTCAGACATGTGGGTTCTAAAGCTCTCTTTTCTAGAAGTTAATAAAATAATCAAAAACTAGATTGACAATAGTTTGACCAAGGCACAGCGCAGGCAAGCTTTGTATTAAATTCTTCTGTTCTGTCAATGCATTTCTACCTAAGCTTGGAATACCTCTAATATTCCAGTACAGGGAGCCTCGTAAACAGATTATTAATCATTCCAAGTTCTATAACATGACTACTACTAGAGACCAAAAAGATTTTCTATCTAGATTTTAAGCCAGGACCTTCAGCAATGAAAAGCCAGTGCATTAACCCACTGCATCTCCATGCCCACACAACAGCTGTTCTTAACACACTGTACGCGGTCTTGATCCTATGACACTGACAGTTAGACTGCCCCAAAGTTTATCTTTATGCAGGCTCTCTGCTGTTATTGCACTAGTGATCAAATATTAGTATATTCCAAGTCCTGCCTGTTGAGAGCAAATCTATTACGGTAATTGATATCTCGAACTTGTCAAGCATGAGATGTGCTGTAGGGAAATAAATTAGTAAACAAAGTGCCAACTTTTGCATAGGCAAGAAAGTCTTAAAAGAGGAACACCTTAAAATGTCAAAGAATTTACCATTAATTACCATATATACTCGTTCATAAGCCCGTTTGTTTATAAGCCGACCCCCCCAAGATGGATAGGTAAAAATAGCAAAAACTGTATGACCCGTTCATAAGCCAACCCTATATTTCAGGGGTTGGCAAACTTTGGCTCCTGGCCCACTAGGGTAAGCTGCTAGCGGGCCTGGACATTTTGTTTACCTGGAGCGTTCACAGGCACGGAGCTCCTCAGCTCCCATTGGCTGGGAACGGCAAACCGCGGCCACAGGGAGCTGAGGGGCTCTGTGCCTGTGAATGCTCCATGTAAACAAAACGACAATGAATTAGATATTTAATTCAATGATTCCATTGAGTTTTAAATCATCAAATTTTGGTGTACACCCGTTTATAAGCTCTTTGATGCATCACTTTTTTACCAAAAATATTCGGCTTATGAACGAGTATATATGGTACTGTTCAGATTTTTCACCCCACTTTACATGAGAATAAATCACCCAACTGGTCCAGGAGTTGATCATACTCATATCCACACCAACTTAAGCAATTTATACCAATTTCATCTGCTTCTATAAGAATTAAGTTTAATGTTCCACAGACACAACACGTAATTTGAAAATTAGACAAGTTTCCCATCATTAGTTTCCACGGTTTTCTTTTGGAGTGTGTGTCTGTTTTGCTCCAGCAGTGTTACTATAGCACATTGATGATTTTACAGAGAAGCAGGACAAAAATAGTGAAGCCCCTAAGCTAGTTCTTTTGATAGGAGAGACAAGGATAAATTCCATTTATGGTGAAAGAGAAAACTGTAATTATTCATGATATTGAACATTCCAAAATTCTTTACTCTGAACACAGAGTTTGTTATTCAAAATGATGGCTGCAATCAGAAATGAGAATATCTCCACAAAAAACTTCCACGTGGAATTTCATTGTCTGAAAATCTAACTGACAACGGCCATAGTTAAATTCATATGTCAGTACTGAATGTGGAAAATTAAACTCTGAAAAAATTTAAGTGAAATCCTGCAGTGATTAAATTAGCTGGCACACTGAAGAATCCACTGTAAGTGTAAGTTATTCCTATTATTGCCCTGAAAGAAAAAGAAAAACGGACAGTACCAGTATTCACTGCTAATAAGAAAATGTTAAGTGCTAATATAGTGCCTTTCATTGAAGGCTCTCAAAGAGCTCTATAAAGGCTGGTATGCATTTGATTTTTTTTTTTTAATCTAACAGGGAAACTGCAGTGTAGACACATTAAGAGATTTGTCTAGTGTCAAAAAACAAGACAATGGCAGAGTGGGTACTAGCTTCCTGGTCTCCAGACTCATTGCTATAGTCACAGTTGCTATAAATATTGCTTCCCTGAAGACTGGTTATAAGGCTGGCAATAGAGTTCTAGTATATAAGCTAAGTATATAACCCTAAGCTATACAAAAGGAGGAGTAAGCAGGGGCCACTCCTGGATTATGGGCACTTGCATCTCTTTCATTTCCCTCAAAGAACAAACTTGTAAACTTGTTTTATACATTGCCAATAGCCTAGGACAGGCTTCTTGATGTTCATTAATACCATCCTGGTATGCCATTTCAAGATGCATCTAAACTACATTCAAAGCTACTAGAGGTAGTTCGCTTTTCAAAATTGCAAAATTTTCAAAATTCAAAAAAATATTTGGGGCAGGGACTGTGTTTAACCAAATTTGTACACTGCCCAGTGAAACAGCACCCTGACCACAATATCGAACAACAACAACTGCAATAGTTATAGGGTGACCAGATGTCCCGATTTTATAGGGACAGTCCCGATTTTGGGGTCTTTTTCTTATACAGGCTTCTATTACCCCCCACCTCCCATCCCGATTTTTCATATTTGCTGTCTGGTCACCCTAAATAGTTACCAGGCATCTTCCCATACCAACCAGAAAACGAGGTCTAAATTCCAGCTAATGAGCAAGGAGAATTGCATGTTTACATTGCAACTGAACGCCTGTACTGGAAAGGTGACAAAATACAGCACACCAGTCAGGCTAGAACATAGAACTGTGACTCACTTGGAGTAGAAAGCGCAAAAGAAACACAGCATAGCTTTGCTGTCTACACTGGCCACTGAAATAGTGGGCCTTATTAACGAGGAAGCCCCCCCCCCAAAAAAAAGAACATTACACATTTTGGGGGCAGCCCAGACACCTAGAAAAAGGGACTTTGCTAGGTTAACTTGAAAATTATTTATGCTGCTAGCCAGTGGCAAACTTCAGGCACACATGACAAGACTGGCATTTGAGGTTTATCCCATGGGCAAGCTAACAAGTCAGCAGAGGGGGGAAGCTGACATGGTCTAGTGCAGTGTTTCTCAAGTTTTCGATATCAAGGCTTGCTGCCTTCCTAAACTGTGTCCAGGAGATCTCAGGGACCGGCACTGAGAAACACTGGTCTAGTACACGTTAATCTACCCTCACTGGGAGGTTATGCATTTAGGAAGAAGATAAAAGTGAAGAGGGTCATGAAAGAGCACTATGGGTAAGGATAGCAGTGAAGAACAGGAAATAGACTGGCATCGCTACTGTGGAGTAAGTTATTCTACAATAGCTATTTCGGAAAAGTTCCCCTACGGACACACTATTCAGGAATAATCACTCTGCTCACAAACCAGATTAATTTTTCCTAAATAAAAAACATTTATTCCAGAACAGAACATCCACAGGCGGAGCTATTCTGAATACTTATTGCAGAATAACTTATTTCACAATAGCTCTGCCAGTCACTTTCTTCATATAGATCCAGCCTAAGAATTTAGCTTAGGCACCTCACATTCTAGATCAGCGTTTCTCATATGCGGCGCCGGGAGCTTTTCTTGTGGCCACCACCTTCTGAGCTGTGATTGGAGAGGAGGCTTGGGGGGGCAAAGCAGCAGCTACTCCCTGTTGCTCCTGGATGTGCTGCCTTGGTGTTGGGGCCGCGAGCAGGGATTGAGCCCTGCTCCCCTCTGGGGACATCTGGGGCACAACGCTGAAGAAGCAGGCAGCCTGTGAGTTCCCCATCTTCCCAGGGGCGGTGGGACTCAGGCTTCAGCCCTTAGGTGGTGAGGCAGCAGGCTCTGGCCAGAGAGCTTTGGGCTCTGTTCCCAGGCCCCATCCCCAGGCTGCAGGCTCCAGCCCCCCGATGGCCTCCCCCACCCGCACAGCCACCCACCCCCACGTCACCCCAGGTGTTTCGTTTAAAAACAAGCCTTGAATTCATGCCAACCAGAATTTGGGGAAATGTAGGGGACTTGAGATCAAGAGGGTAAGCTTGCGTTTTAGCCCCTTTCTGCAATGACCCCCTACTGGCGAGCACATACCCTCCCAGCTAAAACCAATAGGGTACAAATTCATGCACACACTGCTGTACGCGACAGCCAAGAAAGGGAGGCAAGTGCACAACTACAATCCATGTTAGCACATTTTTAAGGGTTCTTTACCTCCAGGTCTGTAGACAACATCATCCTCCGTGATGAAGGACGTTATTTCACCACTGTCAGTTCTCTCATAGCGAGATTTCTTCTTCGGCGGCTTCTTTTTATTTTTCTTGGTGGACTCCTCTGTGGTGGCACTGTTGTTGTCATTGTCCTCATCTTCACTGTGGTCACTTTCTGCGTAATTCTTGGCACCTCCTTCCAAAGTGCAGCTCCGACGAGGACGGGAGTTTTCGCTCTCTCTCACTTTCTCTCTCTTGTCTCGCTCCCTGTCCCGGTCCCTATCCCTGTCCTTCTCTTTGTCTTTGTCCTTTTCTTTGTCAGCTGTCATGATTCGCCACGTGCCTTCTTCTGTCCTCTCACGGCTGGGCCTCCGTGAAAGGTAGACAGTAAGCCTGGGCTTCAGTCTTCTGAATTTCTCACTCAATTCCAGGAAAAATTCGACCACTCCAACAACCCCAGCGTTTTAAAGAAGCTCTTGAAAGAAGAAGAAAAAAAAGAGGAAACATTAATACTCAGAAATCCCTCACAATCCCTCCAGTTCTGAAAATCAAAAAGGAACCTACAAAAATATTTCAGTTTGCATGAGATAAAACTGTAAAATACGTGAAGCCCTTTAAAGCAGCTGTTTGATAAGTGAAACGCTAGCTTCAAATACCTTGCAGATAGTTTACACAGCAGCTTTCATCCCCAAAAGATCCTCAAAGCTCCTTACAAACTAGGCACAAAGATAGTTTAATCCACCACTGAAATATAGCTACCTTTGGAGTAGAACATGGTAGGTGTGAGAGCACACAGAGTTTTAGGTCAGAAACGGAACTATACGATTTAGGAAGGGAAAATGTAATTACCAGTATTTGAATTTGACCAAGATATAAGATTTCCAGCCCCATTCCCACAAGTACCAGGGAATTTTTAACAAAAGGTCATGATTTCCATTTTACAACTCAATCGAATAACAGTACCTTCAGCAGCACAATATCCAACAGAGCTGACACACAATAAAGAGTACCACATCCACTCAACCACAATTCCCGCCCTTACTGCAGTTCCCAAGTATCCGTTGGGAAGTCTCCCCTTCACGTGTTGAACTAGCCTGACCACACTTAGCTTGCAAGATCCAACAGGCTCACACAATAAGGTGGCAACATGCCCAAAGCTGCTCTTGCGGGCACCACAGGTAGCACAAGGCTTTTGGTTTGTTTGTTTGTTTTTTTCACAAATAATGGAATATGTAGAGGACGAATAGCAGTACCTCTTCTCCACCAATTACTTTTCTTCTTTAACGAAAAAATAAGCATACCTATCTTTTCCCTTTCATTACTGTAAGCAGTACTAGGGTTCAGACTGTGCATTTAGCTTTTTTTAAATGCAAGGTTGGATTGGGCAAGTATACTTATTTCAATAGTATTTACAAGTGAATAGTATGTGATAGCTCAGAGCTATAAGCCAGGATCTTCAAACTGCAAATCCGTCCTGGACAGTGAGTGCACAGAATTTTACACCCCTCCGCCCAGAAGAAATCCCCCCCCTCCTCCCTAAAACCCAGATATCACACCATCACCTAATACCAGTCAATTGAAAGGCTGTAATACAGAACACCACTACATATAGTTAGTCTCCTGTTCTCTCCTCTAGGAACCAAGAAATAATTTACCAGTAAATGCCTTTTCTACCACTCAAGACCAACAATCTGGACTGACAGGTTGTGTGTTACATCTTTGAGTGACAGCCAGCAGCACAAACAACAGTGTTAGAATTTTTGGCACCCTCTCTTCTGGAAAGCCTCTAACAGAATTTGCACCAAATGAGGCATCCATAAGCACTTCGTAAAATTGTTCAATAGAAGGAATCTGAACTACAGTCAATGTTATGCATATGTCATACTATTTTCCTGAAAATATGCTAACTCAAAGGGAGACATTTCCCAAGGAAGAGATCCAAGACAGACAAAAAATTAAAAGATAAACTCTGTATTACCTAATCTGTCAATCCAGGGTTATGGGAAGCAATCCATACCACTTAGATATAAAGTAGTCAAGGAAATTAGGAAGGTACCATTGCTTTAAGAACTCTGTGACCAATTGCTGCACCTCAAACAAAAGTTACTCAATCTAAAAAGCCTGGAAAGACATGCCAAGGGCTTGCAAAGACAACCAACCGCACTGCTGCCTTGAATCCTCTTCAATGGAGGCTTCTGCTATCCAAAAAGCAACAGAGGGTCCTGTGGCACCTTTGAGACTAACAGAAGTATTGGGAGCATAAGCTTTCGTGGACGTGCAAGAAGACTTGCATCTGAAGAAGTGAGGTTCTTACCCATGAAAGCTTATGCTCCCAATACTTCTGTTAGTCTCAAAGGTGCCACAGGACCCTCTGTTGCTTTTTACAGATTCAGACTAACACGGCTACCCCTCTGATAGTTTTGCTATCCAGTTTTCCCAGGACCGGGAGCATCTTCAGTTATGTTAACTTTAGGCATTGTTAAGATAGGATTCAAAGAGGAGTAACTATGTGTGATTCTAAAGTACATATTTCCTATCACCAGAATCTAAATCATGATTTAATTCAACTCTAAGTTTCTAAGTTAGAGATCCCCAAATCAACCAGTACTTGCCTGCCAATAGCTCCTCATTGACAAAATTACTAACTTAAAACAATAATTTCTCAATTTAAGTGAAACCTAAAAGAAACCCTGGCCAAAAATGAAAGACTGCAAAAGGCCAACTTAGCCCTTTTGAATCAAGGTAAAGGGGAATGTACCAGAAAGCTGCAATTTCACCTTATCCCACACCCTTCTGCCAGAAACTGTTGCCACTAGAAAAATATTTCATTGTTAAAAAGGGACAGTGTGAAATCAAGGCTAACACTTAAATTGCTGGAAGGCTGTCACCTTAACAAGAAATTCAAGCTTCAAATAAGTAATTTATGGTGATGAGGTTACACCACTCAAATGATAAAAAGTACTATTACAAAACAATGGATTTCACTGGGAACAATGTCATTACCTTAAAGAAGGTACAAAAAGGCAACCTTAGGGCTAAACCTTCAAAGTCTCTCAGATTACAGTGAACTGTCAACAACTTGCTCCAACAGACCCATTTCTTCCATATTTAACCTTTGAAGCCAGTAATGAAAGGACACTGTGACCAACTGAGGTGGACAAATGACAGTTTCCAAAAAGATATATCCCCTGGTGGATCAGCTGTAGCTTTAAATTATCCCAGCTTGAAAACGCAGCCCATGGTACTAACTGCAAGCATGAAATCAGGAGCCTCAGAAGATGCAATGCCCCTTACATTAAGCTTCTGAAATGGTTTAAGATTAAGAAAAGAACATTCAGACTTTTAAAAAGTTTTTTGAGAAATAGAAAACTGGTTCTGTGCATCTGAAATCTCTTAAAACAGGCTACAATAAATTCTTGTTATTGACTACTACTCCCACCAATGAAAATACCCAAAGACACAAAAATGCTTTTGCTGGCATAATTCAGCCTGGGGCTTGAATCTGAGGCATTTCCTGAATGAGCCAATCATCCAGGTAAGAAATTATTCCAACTCCTTTATTTTTTAAAGCAGTTACCATCATTCTGCCAACACAAGGTGATCTGAGCAAGTCCAAAGAGAAGAGTCTAGCAATGAAGATGTCAATTGACCAGAGAAATCAGTGATGGCAAGGGTCTACAGCAGCACGCTGATAAATATTCTCTATGTTGAGAAAGCCTGAATAATTCCCCTGGGTTAACTGCTAAAATAAACTCTTTGTTGATGCCATATAAGGTTTTTTTTGGGCAACAAACCAATTTAGCCATTTTAAATCCAAACCTGGACAGTTCACGGGGGCATCTCAGAAACTGTAAAGAATAACCCTCTATTGCACATGATGATACTGATATGATGCCTCTTTAGATAAGAGGCAGTGGAGAGAATAGTTTCTGTATGGTGAAACACTGGTGACTATTATAAGAACATAGAGCATACATCAGAATTTTATTTTGATAGCCTCTCAGGATTGATTAAACCCATCCATCTGTGGTTATTCCTATCTACTGGCTCAAACCCCCAAGGACACAATCAGGGAAGATAAGTACAGATAGGAAGGGAAAAGAAGGCTATGCAAAAACTTGGTTTGTAGAATTTGGTTCCTGTTTCTCTCACCATCTCCCTCTCCTCTAAAACTAGAAGGCTATTTTGATTCAAAGATTCGGAGCAGAGATGTATAGTAAAAGGAGACAGACTGTTCTATTTTTGTTTTTAGTCAAACGAGGAAGGGAACATCCATGCTAGATATAAATTAGCAAGCAATTACACAACCCACTACCTTACACTGAAAGGTAAGGATATCAAATGCAATCTCATACAGTGTTGGCAAGACTTGCAAACCAACATCTCGAAACAAACAGCAAGTCTTGCCAACACTGCAGGGATACCCTAATTTAGAGGTCTTAAGGTGCCTTGAGTGGCTGCTATAGTTTATATAAGGCCTGAGTTCCATGAGATAACCAGAAAGGAGCTACCGCTTCTTCCTGCTGGTTTAACCCTCAAGCCATTCTAACAAGGCATGTGATGAGCACAAATATATGGCAGTTTCTAATTGGGATGTGGCTAGATCCAATGACCTTTTAAATTCCACGTTCACACATTTGTCCGTAGTGCCCTTGCTGACTTCTATAGACAGAGACAACATTTCTTCCCCCAGTGACAAGAGCAGAATCTACTTGCAGGGAAATGCCCCTAAGACAGACTTAGCTGTAGATAACCTATATATTTCCCCCCGGAGCAGTCAGCATGCAATTTTGTATCAGGATTAGCCCCAACTTTTATAAATTACATGCTCAACAGCCAAGTGACTGCAAAGCAGCTTTGTCAGCTTTTCCTTCCTCTTTCAGGAGTGGAAGCTCATCTTTCACTTAGAGAAAGTCAGCCTCGTAACCTCTTCAATATTGATACAGTTTATGGCCTTCCTCATTAAGTTATCTTACAGACTCTGCTGGAGGGTGAGAACCTTCCTCTTCATTCAATGGTGAAAAATACCCATTTTGGGGAAATTATGTTTGACTGACAGGATTTTTTAAGCCAGCACCACCACAGTCCAGCTAGTTAGACACCTGCTGCCAAGATCATGCTGATCTGGGAAGGGGAGATAGATGGCAGAAGCAGGCTTAACAAAACCTGGCTAGTTTTTTTCCATCACCCAAGATAAAGAACCTAGGTATCAAGCTGCACACATGATTCCGGGTGAGAATGAAAACAGAATTTAAAACCTCACCTAAGGATTCAAGGGCCCATGCCTGACAGCAACGAAAGCTTCTCTTACCAAATTCATCTGTGTTTATATTGTCCGTCTCCTGCAGCATTCCAGTCACCTTCTCACCTTTGACTAAGGCTATGTCTACACTAGCACTTTTTTCAGTAAAACTTCTGTTGGTCAGGGGTTGGGGGGGGTGGGGGGAGAACCACACTCCTGCCCAACATAAGTTT